TGAGGAGCTTGGAATATTACGGGTCCGAAATGGCCCTATGGCAACCTTAGTGAAACATAAGTGCATAAGCGCAATAAATCTGATGTCCATCCTGGATGAAATCTTTATTGGAAAGAGTAGGCACTCGCCCGAGGAGACGATGACGGGCACCAACGCGGCGGTGGTCACACTATATAGTGTGTGGCAAGTGGCGATTTGGGCAACGGAAATTCTCATGGACCAAAACTTGGGAGACCGTAACAGTAGGCCGTTGTTAGAATTCGTTGCCGTTGATCTTCATTTTTACGTACCTTTATTACATAGCAGCCTTAACTTACTATCTCATCGCATATTATCTTTCATTAGGTTCTTCCTGACCTAAGATACCTGATGAATAAAAGGACTTAATAACGTAAAGGATGGCCTCGACCTCTCCAGCACATTATCGACGGAAAGAGGGTGAAATTTTTCTGGAACCGGTCGGTCTCTCTTCGCTCTCGGTTTCAGCCGAAGCACTATTTTGCATCTCCACTTCCGTACTCCTAGGCATCAGAGTAACGCGAGTGCTGCTAACTGAGGTCTTGGTTAGGCTTCCAACGAGCCTCGTTCAACACTTGAAGGCTTCGTTTGTAAAAGTTGCATGCTCGCATGGTTCCAATCGATGCGCTCAGCTCGAGTTCAACAATGCTGCAAGGATTACTAAAACCAGGGTCGGAGTACGAGCTGTTATCTATCACTACGCAGTGTGTGTGTGAAACACTGTCACTGTGAGCCAAAGAGTTGAAAGCAATATTTGACTGCAATGTGTCGCCATTTGTTTGCTACAACTGCTGTCGGCGATTAAACTCTACTGTTCTTTTGTAATTGACTCTTCATTTCAGATCCTACTGTCAATATTCTTCGCCGCCTGGTCTGTGGCTAAAATGGATTTTGCGACATTGACAGTATATTGTTCTGCAACTACTAGTGAGACAACTGAACGAATCACAATACTACTCTTTACTTTATGTGGTGCAGATGCGGTATCTCTGGCGGGAATAGCGTTCTTGCAAGCATTCAACGTTGCTGCAATAAAAATGTAAGCAACAATCTGCCACACAGATGCGAAATTCACGTTAAAGTTCTCCCATCAGGTGATGCCGGATGCAATCTGTTCTCTCTACCTTTGGATAAATGGGATATATTTAGTAGTACAGATGTATCACTTATGTTGCGTGCAAGCGATGAAGCTTGATAGATTCATTTAATCACTTTTTGAGAATCGCCAATTGCAAGTCACAAGGGACTACACCTGTTGAAAAGGGTTGACGATCGCGCTCAACTCATCATTTTCGACATCGGATAATAGCTTTTCCACCGCCTGAGGAAGAGCCCAATGGGCGCCAGTTGCTCCATACGCTGTCATTAATTTTCACGCACCACTAGTACTTGGCGGATAGCTTCTCTGACGTGCGGAGCTCTGAGAAATACTATTGCAAATGCGGATAAGTGTGTGTTACCAGTTGCAAGTGTGGCAGCTTGAGATTTCTTCTTTTCCAAAACTCTTACAAAGTTATGTAATCGTTGTGGAGAAATGTAAAAAGAATGCTGGACGCGATAGAACACCTTGGCTAGAGCTCCCTTACAGGTTTGCTGACAATTTTGCATGCCAAACTGAAAACTGTTATTTCCTTTCAATTTCACAATTTCAGGGACTTTTCTGATTTGCGATCGTCATATCAACTGCGTGAAAACACAAGCGTCCTAGGAGTCATCCTACCACTAATAATCTTTGATGGATTCTGCCATTTAGCGTATTCAACCACGCGAGGAGTGCTTTTACTGTTCAGAGGATTCTTTTCAAATGTCACATATAGAACCGTATTGACTGCATCTTACGTGAGTGCTAGTTTCTCTTTTGCACCTCCAATTTTTAAAAACAAAAGTCATTGTAGCGGCTGCTATTGAGGGAGATGTGCTCCTCACCATTCTTAATTTTCAGTGAATTTGATGCGATGGAGAAGGCCTTCTAGTTGACAAATAGCTTGTGGGGTTGACACGATTCGACATCGTTCAAGTGCCCACGCAGCGTGCGATAAGGGACCGCGGTAGTGAATTGTTTTGTAGATGGTTTCCCGCTACAGTGCGTACCACAAGTATGTGAACACCCAAGAATCGAGTCGCAGGGGTCAGCTGAAATATTTTTCACCATGTAAGCTTCGCCATTCAAATTATATGGTCGATAACCTTCATTGAGGTTGGCAAAAGATTCTAGTTTAGCAAACCAATATCAATGGAAATTTTTTCTTTGTATCAAAATTATGTGGACACCCTGAGGCAGATGAAGTTTTTGCATCGATTTCCTAACCTATTTTTACTTCTCCTTTCGTTACTTATTCTGGCATCATTCCTCTTCACGGCAAGCGTTTTTTGAAGAAGATCAGAGCATAGAAACGCGTTTCTCATGCTTTCTGATCCTTCCATTTGAGACGTCGACCCGGTCGTGCGTTACCGTATTCTAGAAAGGAGATCCGGAATACTCAGCTCTGCTGAGCTCTCGACATTGACTAAGGGTCTTCTCAGTCATTACCTGTAAGAAGAATAACCTTTATTGTCTCAAAATTTTCTCTAGCTACCATACAAGTTCGCGCCTAGATTACATTTCCACTCTCAAAAAAGACAAATCGATCTTCCACTCGTTCAAGTGAGCACACGACACGAAACAAAATGAACGAAGAACTTCTTCGTTCATTTTACTGTGCTCACAATATTCGTGCATGAACAGGGGTTCAGATTGGCAAGCTGGCACCCCCTCTCAACTACAGAGCCGCGTAATAAGGCGCTGAT